CAAGATATTTATTTGCATTTTTATCCGTATAGTCTCTGCACAACTGCCACTTCTGTTTCAAATTCAATAGATTGAATGCAGAGTCTTGTATTTATTCTTAGTTCAATGATGTCAACATCACTTGCACAAAAATCGCATACACATGTACATCAAGTTTGGCATATGAACTATGATATTTGAACTACAATAATGTGGTGTTTTCACAGTCAGGATAAGCACATGTCATTTTCTCTCTTACAAAACCATTTTTTAGTATCACATTGATAGTAGTACATGTAATCGGTCCACTACATGACTGTGCAGTAACATTTGAAAAAAGTCATCACTAATAGTTGTTCCTGTCTGCCAGGGAATCTTTTTTTTTCAATCAGAAAGGCTAGGGAGTCCTACATTCAGCACATGTATGATATTACATCTCTTGTATGCTGCACTGTTAGGTAAATTTGATCAACATCTTTGTTCTTTTATAACATGCAGGATCCTGTTAAAAAAAAAATGCTGTCAGAGACTGAATGTAAATATACATGTATATAAACTTGTAAATGTCATCAAAGTGGTGGAAATAATGAAAAAAACAATTTATATACACAAAACCGGTATGACTTGGGAAAGTAATTCCTGTGATCAATGGTGATGGGTACATTTGTTCTTTAAAGATGGACAATTTTATAAACTGTAGCCATGGACAGGTGCCTGTCTTTATATTGAAGAGAATGAAAATGGCTGACAGCTTGAATGGTCATTTTTAATTGTAAATTGCATCAAAGCTGGTGAAAATATGGAAAAAACAACTGTTATACACAAATCCAGTATGTCATAAGAAAGTAATTCATGTGCTGGGAATAATTATTCTCTAAAGATGGAAAAGTTTATTGACTGTAGACATGGACAGGGACCTGTCTTTATATTGAAGAGAATAAAAATGGCCGACAGCTTGAATGGTCATTTTTAATTGTAAATTGCATCAAAGCTGGTGAAAATATGGAAAAAACAACTGTTATACACAAATCCAGTATGTCATAAGAAAGTAATTCATGTGCTGGGAATAATTATTCTCTAAAGATGGAAAAGTTTATTGACTGTAGACATGGACAGGGGCCTGTCTTTATATTGAAGAGAATGAAAATGGCCGACAGCTTGAATGGTCATTTTTAATTGTAAATTGCATCAAAGCTGGTGAAAATATGGAAAAAACAACTGTTATACACAAATCCAGTATGTCATAAGAAAGTAATTCATGTGCTGGGAATAATTATTCTCTAAAGATGGAAAAGTTTATTGACTGTAGACATGGACAGGGGCCTGTCTTTATATTTTAATAAAATGCTCCGCAGGGCGCAGCTTGATACGACCGCAGAGGTCGAACCCTGAACAGTTGGGGCAAGTATGGACACAACATTCAAGCTTGATACAGCTCTGAATTTGGATTGTGATTAAATATTTGACACAGCATAGGTTTCTGACACAGAATGAATGTGGTCTAAGAACTTAAAAATTTTAAATTGGACATTCACCTATTATGGTCCAATATCCAAAATCTAAATACATGGTTAGATTCAGCATATCAAAGAACCCCAAGAATTCAATTTTTGATGAAATCAAACAAAGTTTAATTTTGGACCCTTTTGATCTCAATGTGGACAAAAATGATAACAGGGCCCAAAAATCAAAAATCTAAATACATGGTTAGATTCAGCATATCAAAGAACCCCATATATTCAATTTTTGTTGAAATCAAACAAAGTTTAATTTTGGACCCCGATTTGGACCAACTTGAAAACTGGGCCCATAATCAAAAATCTAAATACATGTTTAGATTCAGCATATCAAAGAACCCTAAAAATTCAATTTTTGTTAAAATCAAACTAAGTTTAATTTTGGACCCTTTGGACCTTTATGAAGACCAATTTGAAAACAGAACCAAAAATTAAGAATCTAAATACACGGTTAGATTCGGCATATCAAAGAACCCCAATAATTCAATTTTTGATGAAATCAAACAAAGTTAAATTTTGGACCCTTTGGACTTCAATGTGGACCAATTTAAAAACGGGGCCCAAAATCCAAAAACTTAATACACGGTTAGATTCAGCATATTACAGAACCCCATATATTCAATTTTTGTTGAAATCAAACAAAGTTTAATTTTGGACCCCGATTTGGACCAACTTGAAAACTGGGCCCATAATCAAAAATCTAAATACATGGTTAGATTCAGCATATCAAAGAACCCCATATATTCAATTTTTGTTGAAATCAAACAAAGTTTAATTTTGGACCCCGATTTGGACCAACTTGAAAACTGGGCCCATAATCAAAAATCTAAATACATGGTTAGATTCAGCATATCAAAGAACCCCATATATTCAATTTTTGATGAAATCAAACAAAGTTTAATTTTGGACCCTTTTGATCTCAATGTGGACAAAGTTGATAACGGGGCCCAACAATCAAAAATCTAAATACATGGTTAGATTCAGCATATCAAAGAACCCCATATATTCAATTTTTGTTGAAATCAAACAAAGTTTAATTTTGGACCCCGATTTGGACCAACTTGAAAACTGGGCCCATAATCAAAAATCTAAATACATGGTTAGATTCAGCATATCAAAGAACCCCATATATTCAATTTTTGTTGAAATCAAACAAAGTTTAATTTTGGACCCCGATTTGGACCAACTCGAAAACTGGGCCCATAATCAAAAATCTAAATACATGGTTAGATTCAGCATATCAAAGAACCCCATATATTCAATTTTTGTTGAAATCAAACTAAGTTTAATTTTGGACCCTTTGGACCTTTATGTAGACCAATTTGAAAACAGAACCAAAAATTAAGAATCTAAATACACGGTTAGATTCGGCATATCAAAGAACCCCAATAATTCAATTTTTGATGAAATCAAACAAAGTAAAATTTTGGACCCTTTGGACCTCAATGTGGACCAATTTAAAAACGGGGCCCAAAATCCAAAAACTTAATACACGGTTAGATTCAGCATATTAAAGAACCCCAAGAATTCAAGAATAAAACCCTATTGAAATTGATCAAGAAATAAGCAATTTATAGGAAGTATCTTCTTTTGCACAATACTGTGCAATTGATTATTTCTTGCTATTGCGCAATACTGTACAATTGACAATTTCTTGCTATTGCGCAATATTGTGCTATTGGATATTTCTTGCTATTGCGCAATACTGTGCAATTGAAGATTTCTTGCTATTGCGCAATACTGTGCAATTGAAGATTTCTTGCTATTGTGCAATACTGTGCAATTGAAAATTTCTTGCTATTGCACAATACTTATAATATAATAATTTACACATCCTGTTTGGTGTGTATCTCCTACCATATCATTATTATTTGCTTTTAAATATAAATCAGAAATAACCAACTTAAAATGGAAAATTTTAAAAGAAAAAAAAAAAGGAAAAAAGAAAAAAAGAAATCCCCCCCCAAAATTTTTTGAACCCCCTTATGATTCATCACCCCAAACTCAATCTCAGCCTTCCCTTTGTGGTATGGTACCTTGCAGTACAATTTCAGAGAGATCCATACACTTGAACACAAGTTATTGTCTGGAAACTAGAAAAATGCTTATTTTTGGCCCCTTTTTGGCCCCCAATTCCTAAACGTTTCGGGCAATTACCCCCAAACTCAATTCCAGCTTTCCCTTTGTGATATGGAACCTTGTAGTACAATTTCAGAAATATCCAAGCACTTACACACAAGTTATTGTCATGAAACTAGAAAAATGCTTGTTTTTTGCCCCTTTTTTGGCCCCTAATTCCTAAAATTTTGAGGCAATTACCCCCAAAATCAATTACAGCCTTCCCTTTGTGATATGGAACCTTGTGGTACAATGTCAGAGAGATCCATACACATACACACAAGTTATTGTCTGGAAGTTACAAAAATGCTTATTTTTGGCCCCTTTTTGGCCCCTAATTCCTTAACTGTTGGTACCATAACCCCCAAAATCAATCCCAACCTTCCTTTCATGGTATTGAACCTTATGGTAAAATTTCATGGAGATCCATTCACTTAAACTAAAGTTAGAGTGCGAAAACCAATGTGTCTTCGGATGACGCCAGACGACGCCGGACGACGACGACGACGACGACGACAACGACGACGACGACGACGACGACGCCAACGTCATACCAATATACGACCAAAAAATTTTCAATTTTTGCGGTCGTATAAAAATTGAACGTGGCCGACAGCGAGAATACTGAATTTTAATTGTAAATTGCATCAAAGTGGGTGATTTAATGAAAAATTCAACATATTTACACAAAACCAGTATGTCTTGGGAAAGTGATTCATCTCATAAATGGTTTTATTCCTTTTCGAATGAAAAGGTTTTAATAAAAAATACGCGTCCGTGTAAAAAATTTTCATAACGTCCAGTCGGCCAAGCTTTCCCCTTATTATTGACCACAATAAAACGTTAATCGTCACAATATTTTAACTAACAATTACTACAAACTGAATAAAACAAGGTAAATAATTTACGAAATTGAAATATATACTTACATTATGCTGTTTTGAAAAGCTTGATGTAAAATAAAAATCGAAGCGGTGGTGAACTTGTCATGATCAGATGCAAAATGGCGATCTCGTTAAAGTCTCGTGTGATGCGTGTTTTTAATTGGATTTCGCTGACCACTGTTACAGTTGCCAATCTCTGTGTATATATGTCTCTGTTTTTATATATACGTCTTTTTTTTTCGAGGGAGGATCCTAGTGTTGTCTGTTGTACTGTCCAATATTTTTGGTAGTTCCTTATATTATATTCATGTATCATATTTAAACAGATAACCCTCATACTATATCGATGAGTGATCGCATGGTATGTTTAACTTCTGCATGGAGGGTGTAGTATTATCCTAACTGAAAGATAATAACAAAGTTGCATTTTTAAAGAATTTCACTCAGATCAAGTAAAAGATTGATAAAACAAATTCATAAGCAACAGCTCTTTTTATTACAAAAAAACAATTACAAATCAGATTCATACTTGTTACATGCCGCACATCTCCACAAAACATTCATCCGCATAGTCATGGCACCAAATATTTTAATATTTACACTAACAGAAGATCACAGAGAGAATCAATAGTTGTAACCACAAGAACCGGGCGTTCCTTGGTAGATTTCCTTCATAGACATCCGGGCATGATGATATGAAGTATAGTCCATGTTCCGTGGATACGGAGAGGGTCGTGTCTTTGCTGCCATCATATATGTGTCATGTGGGTAAGACATATAATTGTACGGATCAGGATAAGTTGTCCGCGTAGGAAGTCGTAATGTCATTGACAAATTTGAATTGTTCATACTGGCAGGTGACAGCTGTGATTCGTCGGACTCAGATGAAGCTGTAAAATAAATAAGTAATTTATATAGACAGACATATTTCAGAAGTAAAGGAAAAGTCATAAATCAGATGTGCAAGAGTCAGTTTCTAAATTACTAAACTGATCCAATTTTAAGATTTTTTTTAGCACGGGGAGACAATTTTCAAGTAGTACACGCTGTCATCCCTGTTTATACAAACCTTATGGAAGGAGCATGTTTTGATGCATCTTAGCCGTTAATAATTTTTATTTCGTTAAAATCTATTTGTAATCCCTTTTTTACCCAAATGGGGGATGCACTTTTACCATTTACTGTTTACGGACAATTCCAATCTTTGAGTGGTTTCCCTTTGCCAGACAAAATATTGATAGCACATACGTATGATCCTGTAATACCTATATTTAACTGTTTCATTGTTTCTGTCTGACCTTGTTTCATATGTTCACCTTATTTCTATTGAGATTACAATCTCTCTTATACACCACACACTATTGTACTGGCATGATATTACTTTTATATTTTATACTTGAAAATTTTTACGTTTACATACAGATGTAAATTTGTTAAAAGTCCTAGGTTTTCCTGTAGTGGCACATGCAATCTGTATCTGCTTTTGCAGTCCTGATCTTACGGAAATATTTTGATACTTTCGGATTTGGAATGTAATGGCTTGAAGTACCACTTTTGAAAATGAAGGACGCATTTTTAACGTGTGCATTTAAGGGGTTACAATACACCTAAGGGAGTTAACTCTTTAAAATTCTGCTGAACGTTTTAATTAAATAGTATTAGTATAGAGAAATCAAACTTCTCAATGATCATAATTGGTGTTTGTCAAACTGCTATATAAACAATGAAATTATTCCGGTATATTGTGTGGTTCAAATTTTTTTTTTATACAGGTTAAATTAATTCTTTTGTCAAAATGTTATGAAAATTAAACGAGCCAAATCTATTTTAGTCAACGTGTTGGGTACCCCCTTAAAGCTGATTTTATTTTGTCTATATTGAATTATACCCTTGTGTTTCCTTGTAACGATCTTATAGCACGTAAATATATAATCTTCTTACATTTATCACATTGGCGTTTTCTTGATGTACCATCCGGGTTCTGTGACATACTCGAAGGTCTGTGATGATTCCGAGGTCTTCCGCATGGATTAAGATGTGAAATGACATCTACCATACTACAAAGGAAAAAAATGACTTGTGTTTGTTATTACATCTAGTTGAAGTTTATAAGATTAAAGAAGAATAAATATACAATTATCTTTTGCTTAGTAATGATTTTGCGATAAGATAAAATTTTCTTCATATTTTGTACTTTTTACATTGTTATTTTCCGCTTAACTTGCCTATAGTTTGTATAGAGCCATGCGTTCTAATATTTCTCTGTATCTACAGAGATACGCTATATGAACAAATGCACTTTACTTATTCCGAATAATGTCTGCCGTCTGCTTCCTTAAAGAAATAATGTGTCAAAATATTTCGCGAGTCATGATAACTGGTGCCGGAGAAAGTGCGTTGTATGTATTTATTTTCGATTCACCTGGTGTTGTAGTGTAACGATTCATTTACTTGGTGCATTGTCTTGATTCATTTATAATTTACTTTTGGGGTATTTCATTGATTCGTTAACCGCGGTTTACTTGGTGCAGTGTATTGATGCATTTATCATTTACTTGGTGTCTTGTGGACGTTAATGCCTCTACTTCCAAAGGACTCGCCATTCAATATACTTGGATCGATTAGAAATTCTAACATTTAAAAAAACAATAGCTGCTCAATGTAAATCGCAATATTTACGTCGGCAGATCCTTAAAAAAATAAAACCAACACACATTCCTTACCATTCATTTGGGTCGACATCCCGGAAGCCCTTGGCAAATGGATTACTGGCTATCTTGAGCTGGGTTATCTGGAAAAAAATTTAGATTCTTATCAAAATACAGGAACTATTTTCTGTACAATTTTCCAAACAATTACTCGAGGGAAAGTCAATTAAATATTATCAAAAACTAGTTCCTGAACTAAGACTTCTCTGTTAAAGTGCACATACTATTAGAGGCCGACTATATTTATCTACAAATGGTCTTGTTAATTGTCTAGACCTGGATAAAAATCCACACTATAAATCTATAGACATATAAAATCATATTCTTTTTGGTTTTTTTTTTTTTCTTCTTCTGGGTCTAAATCTGTCTTTTATATTATTGTTGTTCTCCTCAGTTCCATTTGTTGTTCGCACTTCAGACAGCAAAGAGAAGAACATAAATGTATACCATGTACGTCAAGGTACGTATTATTAAAACCAATGTTGATTAATTGAGATATAATTCCTGACTCGTTACCAGGTTTTTAGCGAATGACAGCGTTGCGTTGGCGCGTAAAACCTCCAAATCAAAGATAAGAGTTTATACAATTGTCCATTTTCCAATTTTAGACATCGTTTTCAATTCAGATTATTTTGCAATGGGAAACAACTCCTAGTTAACGTTTTCAATCCAATGTGATCCGCACAACCAAAACGGATGCCAAAATGACAAATGTCTTTTCTTGAAAATCAGTGGATATAGCCATCAATATTAATTTAAGAAAAAAATCTCTCGCACGACTCTCATTCAAACGAGAGTATGTTTTACTCACCCTGTGGTTCTGATAGGCAGTGACTGCAGTGAACTTAGTTTCCTGGAAGGTATACGTCTTAAAACATTCTGTGTTCGAACAATCTTCTGATTTTGGATTTACATAAACTACATGAAATCGAGGCTGGTATTTGTGCATTGAATTCAAAATGATCTGCAAAGGGAAAAAAGAGAAATTTTCTGGTTAAAATATTACTTTTATTTCATTGCCGATTACCAACAAATTAACATATTTGTTATCTTTATGTAGCACACTTTTTGTTACAATAATATTGAATTATTTCACAACGAGACTGGATTGATCGCATCTCCTGGATTTGTTTAAAGAAAGAAAGAAAAAAAGAGAGAGAAAAAGCAAATATAAAGTGTAGTAAACTTAAATCGTATGTTAACATGCAATCTAATTTAAAGGAAATGCACTGAATATATGCAATTTTATTGCACAACTAAACTCCAGCATGTTGCAATTTAAGTGCATTCACCCCGTAAAAAGTATCATAACTTATTTTCTCCGAACACAAAATTTATTTTAACTGCAGCTTACAGATTTAATTATCCATTAACAACTTGTCATTCAGAACAACGTGCACATCATATTCGTCTCGATTTATTTACATCAATTTAATTGGGATCACGTAAAGGGCTTGTTAATGATAATATACACCTCTCACTGTAAAATGAGGGGATGTTCTCAAAACATGTTCGAAAGATGGTCTCAAAATATATATGTTTGTATTTTTTTTTACTTGATTGAATATCGTTTTAGCTTATATTTAGTCTTATTATGAACACAGGCATTAAAGCAGAAGAACGTCTACAATTGGTGATTATTAAAATCGAAACTTGGATGACCAATTTTTTTTTTTTATTTAACTAAAAGTTTTTGACATTATAAAGTAAGACAAGTGGTCTACTTATGGTAGTGTGGTCACGTCGTGTTAAACAGTATACACACCCCTTAGATTATATACATTGTAACTCTATGTATCTGTTTAGAAATATTATGCAATTCAATAGATCACTAAAGGGTTTAAAAGGATAGGTGATGAGAATTTGTGAAAATGGTTTACGAATTCCTTTAGGCTAGGATCACAATTTTATCCTGCATTTTTTTTTCAGTTGTAATATCTGTCCTGCATTTTTATTTTTCACTCTATTCGTTCCTGCCTTTATTTTTATTAGTTTATCCTGACTCTTTTGCATAAATTGTCATCCTGCCTTTTTTTTTGCCAAGTTGCTCATCCTGCCTTTTTTTTACTCAAAACTCCTGTCCTGCCCTTTTTTCAAATTTCATCCTAGCCCTCCCCCCCCCTTACATAAAAATCAAATGGTAGCTCCCTAAATGTAGAAGAAGTGGAGCTTTAAAATTGTAAATTCACTTCCGTGAACTCCGGATAGAATTTTCTTTCCATTTGCTTTCATCTTGTTTGTGAAACTGCTTTTCGTGTCAAATACAAGATATACGGTAAATATATATATTCAAGGGCATGCGCATATCAACTGTAATGATTTACACAGGAATGCATATAAAAACATGTCAATTAGTAAAATCTTCAAGAAACAAAAACAAAACAAAAAACGCAGTGGTCGTGTTGTTTTGGTTCCAAGTTCAGGAAGTTATTAGGAAATATCGTTTAAGTTTGTTCCTCAAGTATCAAAACTTGTCATAATTTAAAATACTGACGTGATACTGCAACTTACATTTACTAATACTTTTAAAATAATTGATCAAATTATTTGTAAACAGTTACTGTAGTAAACGTGAAAAAAACTAATAAAAGACAACCGGTAACAATCATTATATTATTTCATTACGGATCAAATGCGCTTGGGTAATGGACCCCCTTTTTCTGAACCTTTTTTTAAAGTAGATACTATTCTTAAACATTTTAATATTTTAACCTATGTCCATTTATTTTATGTATTTTATATATATACGATGCCCCTCTATCCTTAACGTGGAAAATATGAATAGAGGAATGTCATATATATACTACTGTTTTTGTAATATCTTTTGGATAAAAGCAAGAAAACATTAAATAAATGAAAATAGAAAAATATTTAGAAAAAGGGGGATCCATATAAAGGTGGCGGTCGTATTTGTTTACAAATTAACCATCATAAAATATATCCTAAAGTTAGGACCATTCCCAAGACCATCTTGAGACACCTACTTAGATGTCCTAAAGTTAGGACGATTCCTTTGACTTTTCCTAAGTTACGACATATTTAATAAACGCATTTAGGACAAAGATACATTAGGATATGTACAAGTCCAAAGAGCGCTTCGATTGACAGGCCCCTGGTATCTTTTATAAGTGTTAAATAAATATTAAATTAGCTAGTAAGGTAATGAATTATATGTCCCAAAATTTTACAAAAGGACGAAGGAGTGATATGTTTGTAAAATAGTGAATTATAACTATAAATAAGTTGTTATTGTTTATTTGCTGTTTTCTTCCTTCTCTTATATGTTATATAACACTATCAATACTTATGTTGAAATAACACATCATTAACCGATAGAATTTCAAACACTTGTTGACATTTTCATTCTACAAATATCCTGACAAACATGACAGATGTCTGTAACATTTCGGAACCAGCATTCCGATTTAAATTTGAAGTCTGCTGTTACAGATTTTTCACTCTATGTAGTTAGCTTTATTACGTAATGAGTTGAGAAAAATACAAAGCTGCTATTATTATTGAAAATAGTATCAACTAAGTGTGTTTGGTAGATTTCATAATGACAAAATACCCGGAATAGTCACTTATATATTATTTATTTATACTATATTAATCTTTTTATCATTCATTATTTTTATCTCTTGTTATTTTGCATGACCTGTATATTTGAAGCTTTTTTATATATATTAATATAATATATAATATTCTGAAAAATAAGGAATATGACGACTTTATTTCGATATAAGCAATTGCCTACTTTGGAACGTTTTACTACCGTTTGTTTTGAATTAATATTGCATGGCTTTTTGTTTAAAACAAATGGATTTGTTAGTGCGACAACGTTAAATGCTACTGTCCTTAATGTGATGTTGATTGGAAGAACAAACTGACTAAAGCTCATCTTTATAAGAAAAATAAACAATATGTTTCTTACGAGTCTCACCGAATTAAAAAAAAGACGAAAAAGAGAATATCTTCTTACTCTAACAACCATTGTGATCACGTGGGATCTTATTTTTTTTTATCTTTATCACGTGGGATCTTATAAAATGAACAAACTCGTCAATGGCCTTCAATAGTTTTACTAATGTAAATAACTGAAAAATGCCAAACAGTTCCAATGTCGCCCGCGTTGCACATATTTTATCTTTCCAAGGTACGATATTCTCCATATAATTTATATTTCAAAGTGGCATAACTCTTTTAAAAATAATTGATCGACACTGATTTTCAAACTCGTCCAAGACATTGCTGATATAAACCTATGATTTTAGTTTCATAAAATTCTGGCAAGAATTGTAAATATGAGAGCGCTAACAATGCAATTCTCCATATAATTTATATTTCCAAGTGGCATAACTTTTTTTTAAAATAATTGATCGACACTGATTTTCAAACTCGTCCAAGACATTGCTGATATAAACCTATGATATAAGTTTCATAAAAATCTAGCAGAACTGTACACATGAGAGCGCTAACAAGACCGGACGGACGGACGCCCGGTATTTCTATGTCCCCCGCAACGCGTTGCGTGGGGGACAAAAAATTCTTAACACTCTTGTTATCAGAGAATTGTAAAACAGTTAAACAATGTACACAAAAATTGTAAAAATCAGCTATAATATGATATCTCAGACGGAAGCAAAAACGTTTATATTCTAGGAGTATAATTGTATTGAATGCAAGCTGATTTCCTTGACTGAAATCTCAATTACTTTACCTCCGAACTGATTTACTAGTAGTCTAAAACAATGGCCTTTCGCACTGAGCTTTGTTAAAAAGCCAATGTTTGGAGTGAAACTTGTAAAGGTCTATGCCTTTAACATATATGAAGCTCCATAAGGGGGACCTGGGCCCCCTATCCCCACTTAATTCAAAATAAACGCTAAATTGTCATAAATTTTAATAAATTATATAACAAGAATGTGTCCATAGTACACGGATGCCCCACTCGCACTATCATTTTCTATGTTCAGTGGACCGTGAAATTGGGGTCAAAACTCTAGTTTGGCATTAAAATTAGAAAGATCATATTATAGGGAACATGTGTACTAAGTTTCAAGTTGATTGGACTTCAACTTCATCAAAAACTACCTTGACCAAAAACTTTAACCTGAAGCGGGACAGACGGACGAACGGACGGACGAACGAAAGGACGGACAAACGAACGAACGGACGCACAGACCGAAAACATAATGCCACTCTTCTATCGTTGGTGGGGCATGAAAAATACGGACATTTTGTTTTAAAAAGCCGGATGTTAAATGTACAATAAGTTTGCAGTTGCATTCTCAGTTTGTCAGCTGCTGTCAGATAGACATGTATTTTATGCTGTTGTCAATTTCTTATTCGGGAATCGTACTAAGTTACTACATGCTTATTACATAATTTGTGCTAAAATGAAAACTCAACTTGCTATACTCACGTGGCCATTATCGTCAAGTAGATTATTTGTCAATTTTAATTTATCAAATGATACAATTTGTTTCATCCATTGAGCTCCTTTGCCTGGCGAGTCAGGATGCACGTGAATTCGTCCGGGCATATTTGGATCAGCTTTTCCCGCAACTACCCAGCTAGAGCTGTGAAATGAGTATCTGTATCTTTTGTCGTCAACCGGTATGAAATCCATCATTAACATATATTCTGCCATAGGGTCCAACCCATATAATCGAACTTGAAATGTTGGAAACATTCGCCTAAAAATGAATTATGAATAAAATTATTTTCATGAAAAAGTGTTTCTAAAATGGATCCAGGATATGAGCGCAGAGGGCGAACGGGGCGTTTGATCACCCACAAATAAAAACATCTCATGTTTCTGACGATATATTTGAATTTTAAATCGTCCAAATTTTTTTTTCGCCTCGCTCCGGTACATCTTCACTTTTAATTAGTTACGACCTCTTTCAAAAATACTGGATACGCCACTGAACATCACGGGAAAGTAGACCACCAACTAAATAACAGCACACAACACAACATACATCAATTGGTTATTGTTTTCGTTAGATTGTTGTCTCTTTATCGTATACCCAATAAAATTGAGAATGGAAATGGGGAATATGTCAAAGAGACAACAACCCGACCAAAGAGCAGACAACAGCCGAAGGCCACCAATGGGTCTTCAATGCAGCGAGAAAATCCCGCACCCGGAGGTGGTCCTCAGCTTGCCCCTAAATGAAATTGTGTGCTAGTTCAGTGAAAATGGACGTCACACTAAACTCCAAAACATATAAATGAACTAAAATTAAAAAAACATACTAGACTAACAAAGGCCAAAGGCTCCTGACTTGGGACAGGCGCAAAATGCAATATATGTTTATATTCAAATATATTTTGATTGAACTGACGACACAAAGAAAGATTGGACAACAAAGGATAAGACAGGTGGGAAATGTCACCATAGAAACTTAATCTAAGCTGTGTAATAATTAACAGATGCACAATAATGGGATCTTATGGAGGCAGCTTTAATGTATATGCAGTGATGCGCTTTACATCTACTATAAACAATGCCAGGACGTTTAATGAATCTCCTCTTCAGATCTTACAGACTGATTGGTTATTACTGGTTCAACGTACAGTGACAAATATTTCATGCATGTTCAAGAAGGGGACATATAAATAATGAGTCTTACATAAAAGAAAGGTTACACAGAGCGGGTCGAGACAGCGGGGTAGGATATTTAAACTGCTACTGATTTTTGGATAGGGCAAATATCTATCATTACAACAGCTAGTCCATCCACGGACCACTCAATGAGTTGTTGCAAGTGTTCTTTAACGTGCAGATAGAGTGTTTGTTTCCCTACAGTAGGCATCGGATTTAACGTCCAAATTCTGACCGGACGTGGCTATATAAACATTCAGAAAAGTCCATTTGGTCATATTTCTATTCGTCTATCGACCCTTTTCATCAGGTTTTAAATTAATACTAAAGTTAAGCGCATTATTCAATTTATAATATCAGTATCCAAAACGTTACCTTCATATGCACCATAAGTTTTGATATATCTTTGCATTACTTAATATTGAATTAGAATGAGTTGAATAGACAGTCAATATATATTTGGTTTTTCAATTTGACATTTGTTATGAAGATGTAGTCAATTCTGGAAAAAAAATGAAATCAAACATACTAACTAAACTTAACATTTTCATAACATTTGGGAAATACTGCACTTTGATATCAAATTGCAAGATATTTTATAAATAAATATATATGTTTATATAAATAAAGATATGAATGTGTAGGGGGTCTAAATACGCACTCAGTGTAACGAAAAAACCAAGCGCTTCCACGAGAAAGCATGATCTTTTTCAAACAAATTAGAATTTTTATCATTTAAAATTTTGTATATCCTTATCAAATGATAACACATTCTGTTACCAACTCGATGCATATTGAAACCGATATAATAGTAGGGAGGCTCTAGAAGGGTTTGTATTTTCAAATAACTAACAAACATACCTCCAAATGCTAGTTATCTCACAGATATTCATTAAATTTGTGGAGTTACTAATTACAGAAGTACCAGATAGGATGTTTCTTTTTTGTTCCTCACCGGAAGGATATCATTGGCTATGATATTTCAAGTTAATAAATATATGAGTACTAATATAAGATAATTTGTAAATCTGAGAATAGTGATTTGGCAACACAGGTCTATTCTTGCTATAAAAAAGATGGAAAATGTCGAATAAACGTTAGTAAAAGAAGCAATCATAAAAAATGGAAGTTATCAGAATAGCAAAATAGCGTTCTGTCAAACAACTAACTAAAACCGAATACGAACTGAAAACGTATAAAACTAAAGCCTTACAAACAAAGTACCTTTCTAAAAGATTTGTCGTCTTTAAGATGTTTAACCTGTAACTTCTTTCTTTATACGAAGATGTTGCGCAAATTACCGAAATAGATAAAGTTAAATTGTATTTATTATATTTTCCTTCTCCGATTATTTACAAAGCGTTACTAGCAGGTATAGATTTTCAAAAAATATAATTGGCTGAATATTTCCAAAATACCATCAGATTAAAGCTCCGGTGCCACTGATATATCTTCGTGCGCCTCGTTCGAGAAAAAAACTCCATCTTTGTGGGGTAAGGTTATCTTGCTCAAAGATCGCCATTAATCAGTGGAAACGTCTCCCATAATTAATTATATCAGTTTAATCTTCTAAATAAAACACAACTTTCTCTAAGGATAGATGGCTGAATCTTTCTTGACACTAGACGTTGATATGTTTAAATCTTTCCCCTAATCAAGATTTTCAAATTCTTGAACTCTTACATCCAGAGATTTAGCGTATTTTTTGTTTGTTATCATCCATGGAACATGGTTTTAAAGTCAATTTGAAATATTACGACTTGGTATTTAACGTCTAAAATGTATTTTTTATTTTTTCAAGTATCTCATTAATTTTTCACATGTAGTAATTTTCTAAATATTTATCTATTTTATTACGTATTTACATTGTTTTACGTAATTTTCAAATGCGAATTTGAGAAATTGGTGGTTAAATCGTAATAAACGCAAAATAAAATTTCAAAATAGAATCGAGACATTTGGTTTTCAGCGTTTCTTGCCGCCATACTCGATTTCAGACTATTCATATTTTTCTTTATTTAAACAAATTATTTTATATATTTATCTCTTAGAAGCATTTGAACATATTGTTAAGTTTCTTATGAAGGGACACACATTTAATAAATCATACACATTAAAATCTATAGAAATAGTATCCTAATGAAATAGAACATTAAATATTTTATAACATTTTGGGATAATTCCGCTCGAATATTACTTTCCTCTTAGTTCTCTGTTTCTAACAAGTTCTGCGAGTGGTTAGGCAAGTATTTCGCCTTTCAATATGCTGTTGTCTTTGGAGTTGATTACATTCATTTGTTGGAAGGCGAAATTCGAAAAAAATGCATAATTCCAAACTGATTCTTAAAAATCTAAACAGATATTCAAATTACGATTGTTCTGTTTCATGTCAGTCACCTTATAAATCGGTGGAACTAGAATATCATTAAATAAACAAACTAAATAAACATAGTATGGAGGGAACAATTGGGATTTTGAGAGACGGATTTAGTTCATTAGTGCACATGCTTGTAGAAACAATAAAGGATAAAGGAAAAAAATAATCCTGCGTGGAAACTGATGCACCTTTTAGATTTTCTATAAACTTCGTGGAAAGATAAATAAATGAAAGGAGAAAAAAATAAACTCGGAGGGTTATATTTCGTATTTTTTAAAACAATGACAATAGAAGGAACATCGTAAAGAAGAGGAAGAACACATGAAACCATTAGGACATTGTGTCGAACAAAAAGATTCCAGGTACAAGTCAAAAATAAAATAATGCTCATTTTTTAAATTTGCCGTCTGCCCCTGCATATATTGTAAGAATTGAATGCAATGCAAACTGAATTCAGAGGTATGAGAAAATAAATGAAGAATGTGTCCATGGGACACAGATGCCCCCGGCAAATTTAGAAACTTTTTAATTCACATATAGGGACATTTACTTAAGAACGGTAAACGTGACGCCACCAAACTTCATACTTGATCTGTGTTTGCAGGTAATAAGCATTGTGTAAGAGTTTTGTAACATTTGGTTGAGGCAAACTAAAGTTCGAATGCGGAAATGGCAAATTTAGCAATTTTTTCAATTTACAAAGGGACATAACTTAAAAACGGTGAAAATGACGCCACCCAAATTCGAACTTGATCTGTGTTTGGTGGTAACAAGCATTGTGTATAAGTTTCATAACATTTGGTTGAGGCAAACTGAAGTCAGAGAACGTAAACTAAATTTTGGGACGTACAAACGGACAGACGTAGTACGTACGGAAGTACAGACGGACAAGGGTAAAACTTAATACCCCTACGCGGGCATAAAAAAAGTGCAGAAAATATTAAGTTTTAATTAGTAAAAGAATCAGGCTGGTGAATTATTTTTTGGATATTAAAATTGCGACAATGCAAAAAAGAAAGGAAAACGTAGAAAAGTTAAAATGATTAAATCTCATTTTGTTTTGTTTTCGTATTATGGTAGATTGAATAAGATCAGCAAGTTTCTTGCACGTAATTTGTTTTTCAATCAGCATGAGTTTGAACATGATTGGGGGTTCGGTAGAATAGGTTCATATCATTGGATTCAATGTCGAGATTGCCACTTTCTATGTACAATAATACACCACTAGATTTTCATCTTTCACCGCTTTCTTGACAGTGGCACTAGCCGATGCATGTTTATTACACCGTACCGTAATTTGTTGGTCATAACTTCTGAATTTACTGCAGTTTTGACACTCTATTACTTCGAGGTTATCGCAGCCTCTTGTGGCTTTTGACTCCATAATGCCTCAATTAGTAACAATTAAATTCTCGCGAGATTAACTGTTTACTTCTGATACTGAGCAGAAACTGTAATGACAAATGGCAAAGTGGAAATGTTGGACATTACATTTACTGTTTTTTTTTGTTACTTTGTTTTGTATTGTTCGTGTTTTATTTCTTGATATTGTTCGAAGAGATAAACAATATTTGTCATAACATTTTAGATCTCTCAAATGAGGAAAATTTGTTTGGTTATTTACAAATGAAAATTTGTCTGTCCTAAAGTATTTAGGAATGTCTAGATGTTAGACGAAACGCGAATTAATACACTTAATAACGATAATTATTTTAACAGTTTTATGGTTCTGGTCTTGCCTCGAATAAAATGTACATGATTTATATAACTAAAAGTTTGTTTTTTTTACCAAACCATAGTGTATTGTTTTGTGTGTATGAATGTCATCCTGTACATCGAAGGCCCTCAATTGGAACAAAAAATAATCATATTCTTATTATATGTTCATCACTTTAGAACAGCCTCGGAACTTATTCATTTTATTATATTGCAGTTGTTATTTTGTTGTATAAAATATTGACCCATGTTATGGCAAAACAAATATATACTAGTATTTTATATACCCCCACCACCCCCCGACCCCGTCCTTTGTCCCCAAAAACTCTCAACAAAAAATATAAAAACAAAAACAAAACGAACTTAATGATGTAACTTCACACAAGAGGCCATTCGCTTATTTTCCTTAAATTTATATTAAATTAGATTATAAACTCTGACTTTACACCCAACGAATAGACTATTTAAATCATTTTTTCAAATTTTAATACTGGACATAGATTCGAACCAAACTTTGATAAATTTCAGAACTTATATTTTTTACATGATGATAATTCCTCCAACGAAGCCGTTTACATCGTGTCTAGGTTTGATGTATGTAAGTACACAGCGGGGAGCTGAGAATTAGAGGTTTTAACTGTGATAAGATAAACCAGTAATTTGTACTATATTGGGTTTATAGATCCATCAAAACTGTTTGGGAAACTTATATGACTTGTCAAATCTTGTTAAAGCGTCAACTGTCAGAACCAATTATATAATTTAGATAATAAAGTCAAAAACACAAATCCGACATTAGTCTGTTATATTTGTATGAGGTACTTGACCACAAGGACTCGGTTTCTGGATAAGATATGAATAGTAAAACTGTTGGTGCATAACGGTAATCATTTGTTGAAATAGGAAGCAAAAATAAGATGATTAAAATTGTTTTAAGTAACAAAGACCTTGTGTAAATAAAAATATACGAGAGTACAATCATTTACAATAACATAAACGGTACTTATTTTACTGCACTAAATGCGCATTTCGACAATTAATGTCTCGTCAGTGATGCCCGAAACCCAAATAATTGAAAATTCAAAATCTAACACAAACGCTGAAGAGCTGGTCAAATAAAAAGGACCTAAAGTAGAACCAAATCCGGACAAGGAATCGAAGAGTTGCACGAGGTAGATACATTCCTTGATTTAATTTAAAATAATAATTTTTAAATATTTTTAACAGCAAAATTTCTCCACCAATAAAAACCGACTGCCACGAAATAGAACAGTCAATCAATCAAATTCAATTCAATTAAACAATATCCATACAACTGTGCAAAGTATATTTGTCTGGTAATGTATGTTGAGATTTTGTTTTGATATCTGTATACATTGAAGAACATGCGTTCATTTACCCAAGGAAAAACCGGTAAGAATTAAATAAGGAAACTATTTGTTCGTGTTATTACTAGCCGTTTTCGTTAAACTTACTCGGTAGCAAATAAACTTTCTAGAAAAAAGTAAAATAAAAAAAAACAAGCATTCTGAGAGTATTGCATGGCAATACATAGTCCCCTACCGGTTAAACATTAATTGTATTGGAACAAAATGCTAACTTGATCTATAACATGTCATGGTGTAAACTATATAACAAATATCAAGTCAATATCTTGAAGCATGACGAAAAAAAATGCAGAAAACTGATAATTTAAGTGAATTTTTTAAGTCCAAGGACCATAACTCTGCACAAAATCATCAGACCGGAACAAAATTCAAACTTGGTCTGTAACTTGTCATGATGAAACAATGTAACAATTATTAAATCAATATCTTCAAGAATGACGAAAAAAGTGCGGAAAACTGAATATTTGAGTGAATTTTCCAAGTCCAAGGACCATAACTCTGCACAAAATTATCAGACCGGAACAAAATTCAAACTTGGTCTGATAAAACAATATACCAAATATCAAATCAATATCTTCAAGCATGAAGAAAAAAAGTGTGGAAAACTGATTTGCCGGACTGACAGAAGGACAGACAGACAGACAGACAGACAGACAGACAGACAGACAGACAGACAGACAGACAGACAGACAGACAGACAGACAGACAGACAGACAGACAGACGGACGGAGTGCAAACCTAAAGTCCCCTTCGACTTCGTCGGTAGGGGACTAAAATTAAAAAAAAAATACCGAACTCCAAGGAATATTCAAAACAGAAATTCCCTTATCAAATGGCAAAATCAAAAGCTCAAACGTATATATATATCAAACGAATGGAAAACAACTGTTATTTTCCTGACTTGGTACAGGCATTTCCTTATGTTTAAAATGATGGATAAAACCTGGTTTTGCAGCTAGCTAAACCTCTCACTTGTATTACTAAAATAATTTATAATTCTTATTTAGGAAAACTGTTTTTAAATAGAAAGTTTACTATTTAGAATTTCTCTGTTACTAAGTAAGCTAGTAAATCTACTGGTTATTTTTTTCAGTTTGTAGGACCGTTTTTTAAGACAAAAAAATTGTTTTCTTTTCTCTTAGAAAGTAAGAATACTGAAAAGCCAGCGGTCACACGACCTCACCGTAGGGTTTCCACACTTTTGGTCACTTTCGCCAGCTTAAGGTGTAGTAACTGACCACATGTAATTAAGTTTGCACATGTTATCGTACTTTTGATTGAATAGTTATCTTTTCTTGTCAACACTCGCACGTATCTCGTGGCGAGAGGAAAGGTCAGGCAACGTTTGTTTGATTTTCAACGTCAATCAAAACTGCATCATTTGCTTTCTGAAAGAATATTTCGATAATTACCAGGTCGATGTTGAGTGATGTTAGCTTGATATTTTCTTTTTCTTTTGCGATTGTTTTCTGTTATTTTGAATAAAGATCAGCAGCAAATGCATGCATGGTAATGATACAGAATTTTTGTATTCAAAATTACAGGCACCTCGTGGATAAAAATATTTTAAACGAAGACAAAACCAATAACTTACAAAGTTTCCTAGATTTAAAACAAAGCAATAAGACGTATTTAATTCCAAAGTAAATAGTCAATAAATGATAAAATTGCACGTTATTTTATCTTACGCTTCCGTAGCACCTGAGATGACCCTCAGTTTTTGGTGGGGTTCGTGTTACTCATTCTTTAGTTTTCAATGTTGTGTTTTGTGTATACTGTTGTTTGTCTGTTGGTATTTTTCTTTTTTAGCCATGGCGTTGTCAGTTTATTTTGACTTATGAGTTTGAATGTCCCTTTGGTATCTATCGCCTCTCTTTTATGATAATCGATATTTCCCTCAGTAAAACAAAAGACATACAATTTCGTTTTGTCTGCAGATTGATTTTTGGCATTTGGCTGCAGAGTACAGAGCGGCATAACATGTCTATCCTCATCAAATTTGTTGCTACCAAAAAGAAAGTGAGCATCATCTTCAACAGTTTCCGACGTACATTAAGGATATCTTTTAAAGTGTAGGGGAAAATTCATGTAACTTACAAGTTCTATTTGAAAATATGCGTAGCTTTTCTTTTGCTGAAAGTAATCACGTGACTCATGTAAGATATTTTTTCCTTTTTAACACAATAATACGTTTAAGTTATCATAGTCGGTCGAGTACAAAAATGGTTGCCAATCATTCCGTCTTATTTGTCAGAAATAATGGGGTACACGTACGACAAAAAATATCGAAATTTGAATATACATTACCTTCCTGCCTTGGTGACGATCATCTCCGTGCCGAGTTCATCAAATTCGTCCCACAATGACTTCATTTCAAGTTGTACTTGTACACTTGCTAATTTTAAATGGATTGGTTTCTTTGGCTCTTTCCCATCGTTTTCAATTCCTAAACTTTCATTGTCAGTTTTACATGAATTTATACAGTCTGATGGGATTGTTTTGTCACAGTCTGTATCTGGTACCCTTGTACAACTGTCTGTAAACCCTTCGTATCTCAATGGTTCATAAAATGGTCTTCCGGTTCCGGCATGAAGAAGACAAGCTGAAATGAAATAAGGTCAAAGGATGAATGGATCGCAGAAGAACAAAATTTCAACACTGCAGTAAAATTTCAATTTTACGGAGTTTTTTTGTAAAAGGAAATTAAATGAAAACAAGCATTCTGAGAGTATTGCATGGCAATACATAGTTCCCTACCGGGTAAAAATTCATTATACTGGAACAAAAAGCTAACTTGTTCTATAACTTGTCATGATGTAAACAAAAAGAAAATATTAAGTCAATAAATTCAAGCATAAATGAGTGAATTTTTCAAGTCCAAGGACCATAAATCTACACAAAATTATCAGACTTAAACAAAATTTCGAACTTGATCTGTATAACTTGCCATGATAAAACTATATACCAATTATCAATCAATATCTTCAAGCATGATGAAAAAAGTGAGGAAAACACTTTAACATTAGATATGATTAATAGTTCTCTAAAATTAGATATGATGTAATACAGTGTATATCTATTTTCAAATTATAATCAAATATAATTAATAGTTCCAAATATTTTTTTCTTTTATTTGTCACAAACTAATATAGATTTGTAACTTATCTATAAAATGTCAACAATTTTTATCTACACAATGTAATGTAATATATGCATTAATAAAAATAGAACATTATCTAATTAAAGGATTTCACTTCATAATTTTTATATATATATATATATATAGAGAGAGAGAGCATTCAGAAATTTAGTTTATACAAAATAACAAACAAACCTGCCAAAAAAATCTTCAAATAATTTACCAAAGAATGTCTTTTAAAAATGAGTTATCTCCCTTTGTACAGAAATATGGTTTAACATAGTACTCTAACATTAGATATGGTCTAGAGTTATGGTCCATAACTCTGGACTAAATCATCAGACAGGAACAAAATTCGAACTTGATCTATAACTTGTCATGGAAAAACTATATACCAAATATCAAATCAATATCTTCAAGAACGAAGAAAAACAGTGTGGAAAGCTGATTTGCCGGACTGACGGATAGACAGACGGACGGACAGACGGACAGAGTGCAAACCTAAAGTCCCCTTCGACTTCGTCGGTAGGGGACTAATAAGTAGTTTTACCAAAGAAGACATAAGACTACCATTGAGCCTATTGGGAACAAGACCTATGTGTATAACATTTTCAGCTGCGTAATAATTTTGACTTGATGGTCAGTGTTACGTTTACTTAAATCAAATAAATTATTTCAAGTCTCGCGTAAATCGAGTAAAGTTTATTTTGACTGTTTACTTCATGAAAATCAATTTTTGAATAAAACTTTAATACTATATTATTAAAACTTTTGCACCAATTTTATCAAATTTTTATAAAAAAAAGTCCATGCATCGCAAAAACACGGAACGTTTTTTCTTTACATAATGAAGTTAATCAATGTGAAAGCGCCCGAATTAAAGCCGAGTAGACGGGGGTATTTTGAAATGCTCTGGATCCAAAGCCGGTTAGACAGACGCGCAACAATACTATTTCTAACACTGTTGTTGTTTCGGATTTTTTTCTTCAACAATAGTATTAAACCAACAGCAGTGCATTCCTGTATTATCGACCACATTTTGACCCTGGTTTCCAAATTATAAGCCATCTTTTATTTCCTTTAATGTGCCGTTATTTCTGTGTTGAAGTTAGTAGTCATCCTATTGCATGATTGCTGGATTATGTAGGTTTTATTTAATTTGTGTTTAAATTCACGACATATGGTCAAGCTATCTAGATAGGCAAAGGGGAGTTTGTGCGCATGTACATCTGGTTTAACCCCCATCCGATGTTGATGCCTGTACCAAGTCAGACGATGTTGAACTTCGTTGTCCGTTGTTGTTTGTTGTTGTTTGTACGTGTATTTTTACGGATGAGTTGGTTGTTGGTGTGATCTGTTGTACTGACCTATTTGTTTAGGTAATTCCATATACTATACATCACTCTCCAAATTCTGTCCCTGGACAGACGAGCGAAATGTGTATAACCACACCGCTCAGATTGCTTGGTTTGAAATTCAGTCGGAGACACAGTGTATATTTTTTATATCACACTCCAGAGAGCTGGGCGGACGTGCTGCATTTTTAAATCTGATTCTGAAGGGCGTTAGATACAAAGCCGGTCGGTTAGACTGTCGGATTTATTTTTATCCATGCATCCATCATATTTGAGTGTTAAATAAAACATAATCATACACAGACCTATATATCACAACGCAATATAACGTTATAAAGGGACATAACTCAAGAACAATAAAAGTGACACTACCCAAATTTGTACTTGATCTGAGTTTTGTATTAAAACGCATTGTGTATAAGTTTCATAACATTTGGCTGAGGCAAACTTAAGTTATAGAACAAAAACGAAAAATTCGGCAATTTTTCCGTTTATAAGGGGCATAACTCTAGAACCGTAAAACTCAGGCCACCAAAATTCAAACTTGATCTGTGTTTTGTGGTAATAAGCATTGCACATAAGTTTCATAACTTTTGTTTGAGGCAAACTAAAGTAATAGAATGGAAACGAAAAAAACAGCAATTTTTCCATTTGTAAAGGGGCATAACTCTAGAATGGTAAAAGAGGGACGAAAGATACCAGAGGGATAGTCAAACTCATAGATCGAAAACAAACTGACAACGCCATGGCCAAAAATAAAAAGACAAACAGACAAATAATAGTACAGATGACACAACACAGAAAACTAAAGACTAAGCAACACGAACCCCACCAAAAACAAGTGACGATACCCAAATTCAAACTTGATCTGTGTTTTGTGGTAATAAGCATTGTGTATAAGATTCATAACATTTGGTTGAGCCACTCTAAAGATACAGAACGGAAACGAAAAATTCAGCAATTTTTCCATTTGTAAATGGGCATAACTGTAGAACGGTAAAAATGACGCCACCAAAATTCAAACTTGATATGTGCTTTGTGGTAATAAGCATTGTGTATAAGTTTCATAACATTTGGTTGGGGCAAACTATAAAGTTAGAGAACGAAAACCAATTGTGGGACGTACGTACGTACGGGCGGACAGACGTACAAGGGTAAAACTTATGCCCCCTCCGCTACGGTGGGGGCATAAAAAGCAATAAGTGCACAATATGAAAAAAGTACGGATGGTTAGTGCATGCAGTTACAAACAAACAAACGCACTCCACGGAAACAACAAACAGTTGTGCATTTTCATTGAAATAAAATATTTTACTAATTTTTCATTGTGTACACGAGAAAATGGAACATTTAGCCAAACTTGTAAAAGCATTGCAGTGTTAAACAAGTTGAAAATAAACAATATACTCATTCTGTTTATATATGTTTGTAAAAATAAAAAAAATATCAGGGAAAAAAAAACTTTTTAGAGATTTTGTTAACACGATTTGGTTCTGATGTAATTTTCTATAATTCAATATAAAAGAGTCTGTGTAATTTCAATGTGACGTCACGTTACTCTTTAAGAAAAAATATTTGGAACACTATTATAATTGCACTCTTTCATTGAAAATTAAAATATGAAATCATAATGAATATCGTTCGTATATATATAACTATAAAAGTATACACTTTTCAATATTTGCAAAAGTTGATAAGTGGATCACAAACGATAATGTTTACTAAAAAGGATGACTGCATTTTTTTACATAAAACGTCATAGACTGCTGTTTCCTGATAATTTTTTTTTTATTTTTAATAAATGGTTCAATATCCCTTCTCCCTATAGTACGATAAATTGATTAACGCCCAGTTTATTTCATGCAAACAATAAAAAGGACCAATATTCCATTTGTATAAACCCTTGAAGAAGGGTCACAATAACATTTGCTTGGTCTTTTGTTGTTTTTTCCATGGACATAGAAATATTATTTTTAAGCCAGATAGACTAGATAGACTAGATAGATATCTAGTTATGAATTGTTTTCTGCACACTGACCCGGTTAAAACTCTGTTAGATATTTATATCATAAGGTCATGACAACAATTATTACGCTATTTGTAAACAGAAATATGTTTACTAACACATTAAAAATATACAAATAATAATGTTCAGTAATGGAATCTACAGAACGCACGTGCAGTCAACACTGAGCTCATTTGAAAGATCAAAAGAAGTTTGGAAGGTTAATTTTTCCAAAATGTTTTTGCAGTCTTTCCTTTATCTCTGTAGCAAAACACTTGTTGCAAAATGAAATCTTTATTTTCAGATAACTCTGTGTGTGCAGTAATTTGCGTATATATATAATGTTACTTTAATCTGTAATAATTATAAAATAATTTATACTATTATTTATTAATAGTAAGGAATTCCTCATCCATTTAGTATGGTTTAGTAATTTGCGTTGAACTAGAAGTTTTAAGCGGTTTTTAACTAGATAAAATCATTTGCCACACGCAAATTATATAATTGATGCAAATATCAAATCCAGAATCCTTCCAGAGGAATAATATCTCTCTATTTATTTATGATACAAATCCGATGGATGTTTACACACAAAGACACATTTGTGAAATATTAAATTAACAAATTATGAAATATTATGCCTGATGTCAAAATTATAATGAAGTATTCATATGTAAGGTTCCCGCTATTTCTGACATATGACAAACAATCATCAACGACCGAAAATATATTTTACAAACCTAAACATTGTTTTGACTTTCAGATTATAAATTATAAAAGACTTACAATTGAATTATGTATATAAACAGAAAGCAATTAAACGATCCGACGAATAGTTTCAATTTTAACTTGTTAAAAAATTGCTTCATCATATATGTGAAATATTTAATTTCTATATCAAAATAGTCTCTAATTTTTCTATTATACATTAAAATAATTTAAAACTTGGAAATCAATTTTGAATAAACTACGAGATGGAAAAGGAGAATATTAAACTCCGGTGCACTAATTTCTATTATCTAAAAAAGTTTGAACAAACTGTAATTATTTGTTTTTACTTATTTTGTTTTTCATCTTTTAAAAGTTAAAATTCGAGCATGTTCAACGTTTATGTAATATATAAGTTGTATTCTTTTACGAAAATTAACTTTCATCTTAACGTTTTATTTAATTTTTTAACGCACATGTTTGATTTTCAAACACTCTATGTACCGTTCATTTAATTAATAATTATATATTAATTGTTTAGGTATAAATATAAACAGACAAATAAAATTAAATTTGCATACCTTCCATATTTTTCATGCCATATCCAGGATTATTCCAATCAAAGAAATATTCATTTCCATTCTGTAGATTTGAATATCCAAAAGTTTCTGAAAGTTGACCAGACATGAGTGATGCTATACTAAAGGCGTTTGCTCTGGTCGAAAACGGAACATTTACATCCATAGAGGATTTCTTGCAATAAAATCAGTTAAAATCAACTTTCTGTAGTTTTGCGTATTTGCTGATAATAAAACTATAAATAATAGATCCTAAATTGACAATTTTTCCATCCTTCTATGAAAAAGGGATGGAATCCTCGATTCTGATTGGCTGAAAGTTCTTACTTCGACAACTGCTCTAAATGAATAATTTTAAAGTTTTTCACTGTATATTTCGAGTACGTTTCTCTTGCAATTTGCAGTTGTACAAGTGCAAAACAAAATTTCTTATTTTTAAAAGTTTTTATCTTACAACTTATAAAGGCAACTCGTAACGAGAACAGCGTTGGGGAGCATTGCAATTTCACGTTAATGCATGTTGATAAGTAATTAATCATTTAGAAGTGTCAATTCTGACAGCTTACACTGGCCAACCCACACAATGAACCCTCCCTGATGCACGGAGCAGTCAGTAATAATAAACATTTTCATTTTCTGTGAATTTTCACAAATTTTCACCCCCAGTTCTGATAAGATACCGTTGAAAATTGATGAATTATATTTTTGCATTAATTCAATCATTAAATGTCTCCAGTTTTATATCGATTGAAGCTGAAAATAAATAATTTGTGGTGAAAGAAAATTAAAAAAAAATATATTTCTAATAAACCAGACATTAATTTTTGTGAAGACATGTTCTAATTTTTTGTTTAGCATCTTAAATTAAAGAAAAAAATATACTAACATTTCTATAAAAAAAATATATTTCTTGATAATAAAATATGTACTTAAATTTTTGCATATTATTTAAACCTATATATCATAAACTGTAGATCTTGTAACATACAATTGCTTGGTTCTAATATTGGTCGCATGACGTTAATTAAACAAAACAGCAAATTTACTTGTTACATGATGAAATTATGAAAGAATTGAATTTTTAAAACACCTTTTAAAGAATGTTTACCTCCGTTAGTAACGGAAACGTTCACATCTTTATATGTTAGACATTAAGAAATGTAATCTTATGTAGAATTTTAATTAGTAGAGGACATTTCAAAAACTTTAGCCGATTTCGAGATGTAGTACTTTGAAATTAAAATGGTGATAACAATTCATAAATTTCGTTCCTCCGAAGCTCTTTTCTGGAATAACCTTCATCAGTAACGCTCAAACCTAAATATGTGAAAGCAAGGGATGTGTATATAAATACGTAGTGCTCAACGTTAGGAAAGGGGCCTAAAAAGGAATTGCCAAATTCATCAAAAGTCAAAAGTGTTAAACATGTAAAATATATTTGTTTGCATGGAAAATAGATAAGATATCGTTATTTCATGATATAAAGCAATTTAAAAAAAGTTGATTTCATATGATTAATACTTCTTAAACAGAATATTTTCACAGTTATGTATATCAATACATAAATCACATTTTGTTTCTGACCCCTGAAATTATCAACAAGGGAGGAGGCGACGCTACTTATAAATAATCCAAGACTAGAGACGGGCTTCCTGACCCAAGTAATTACAATCATGGTGGCATCAACGGGACACAGAAAATGTATGTTTGACGTGTTAAAAGTTTACGTCAAATCTCAAAGACGCATAAATATTTAGATGATGTAGTTTTTATCGGTGACAAAATTGTCACGTTTGTAGGTTTTGTTGACCTGATTTTCGAGATGTTGATAGGTTTAAAAAGTGAAATATTTTTTATTTAAGTTAACTTAAAGTTGAAATATTTGGAGAAAACAAGGTTGTGAAATATATTTAACCGGAATTTATAGTAAAGGCAGACTATTAGAATGTACTTTTGATGAATTATCTGATTTCTATATTATTATTTATGATTTCATAAGAAATCCTAGCAAAGACCTTAATTGTCAAAGGGGATTTCAATATTCTATCTCGGACGGGTTTTTCGAATGTCTTTATACATATCTTTCATTCTTGACAAGCCATCATTTTAAAAGGCATAGAGAAATACGTGTACAATGTATACAATGAATAATGAAATAAAAATATTTCAAGATATACTCACTTTAGAAATAAATTTTAAAAAGGAGATGTGGTATGATTGCCAATGAGACAACTACCAACCACAGTTCATATGAAGTGGATGTAAGCAAGTATAGGCAACCGTACGGCCTTCAACAACGAGAAAAATCCATACCGTATAGTCAGCTATAAAAGGTACCGACATGAAAACTATGAAACAATTCAATAGAGAAGACTAACGGCCCAATTTATAAAAAAATAATATGACAGACATGAAAAAACGACAACCACTGAACTACAGGCTCCTGACGTGGGACAGGCACATAATGAATGTGGTGTTGTTAAACATGCAAGTTTGAAGGTACTACCCCCCCCCTTAACCTGGGACAGTGATAGGAGAATAGAGGACGGGATTGTGGTAGCGACAATTGGAACATATCCGTTGTCAACTGTGAAACAGATATTCCATAACAGTCAACCAATTCGTGATGGCGTCCGTAGAATTTACGATGCGAGGATTTTAACTTCACCACTTTGAACTCTTTGTATAATAGCTTCCTTATGAGCAGCAACCCTCTTTCAAGAAATACAAGTCCTTTAATGTCGTATCAACTGGGAGATATATATATTCCATATGCAGTCGCTGCTGGAATGATGCTACATAGAAATGGAAGGTTCACAATTGGAAAGCTAGAATCGTCTATTTTGTCGTAAAGTTTTGTTTCCAATCGACCCTCATTGTCAATTTCTATCTGGATATGAGGCAGACTTAACTGTATCTGGTATATCCTTTATCTCAAGTTCGGTGGGATGGATGTGGTCAACACAGTCACCAAAATTTGAATTATTTAGTGAGAGACCATCATCTATATAGAGGAAAGTGAAGTTAAAGGATAATGCTTACTTCTTTTCTTTGATTGTTTGTTGAAAAACACGTTCTCAAAACGTAACAAATATGTTGTCAATCGAGAAATCAAGCATCTTGATAATGTCAGTTTCAGAGAATGTTTTGTTTGAATCACAGTGATTTCTTACAAAGTACGATTTATCCCTCCCTAAGACTAGATACTTGTACACAAGTTGGCCATTCTTTTTTATGAAGCAAAGCAGGGCCAACCCTTTCAACTTATCTTTTAGTTTGGAATGTGCAATACTTGTGGCTAGTGTGGAAAAGTTAAATGCTTTAATACTATTGCAAGATGAAAGTCTTAGATTGTATGTACTCTAAAAGATCTTTGCAATTTTGTAGTATCCACATCTGATTCACGCCACCTCTAGAATAGGTAGTTTCACAATAACTTTGAAGCCCAGCTTTGATTGCTAATACGATTGATGTTAATAATTTAGAAAGAGGTTTCGTGGAGCACTTGGAAGACCAAGTTTGTAAGGACATTTATGTAATTTAGGTATCCAATACAATGAAGGAAGGTCCAGTTCTTCATCTTTGGTTGAAATTCAAAAGGAACACAGAACAGACCTATGATCATCCAGGATTTGCTCCTTTACACGTGTCGTTAGGGTATATGTTGAGTTTCCAAGTGAATTGTCGATACCAAATTAATTTATCAAGCAGTTTATGTAATGTGGTTTTACCTAAAACGATGTTGTTTTTGGGCTTTATCTGCGGGGACAACATAGTTGTCATAGTGGTAGGACAGGTGTTTTGCAACATATTTTAAATTATTTGGTCTGTACAGTTGTGGGATAATTTAAAAGTAAAAAAAAAAACATATTGCCGTCAACCATTTATAAAATTTAAAATTTTTAGTACACGCCTACACAGTACTGTTCATTTGCAAAATAATTAGTTCCATCAACAAATTTGAATGAAGTTCTGAAATAAATAAGAATTTGGACGGTCACACAGATGAAAGGACTGATAGAGACCCATGGACCTTTCGCAAATGAATCCATGTACTTGCTTAACATATGTTTTAAATAAGGGTATGGTGGACGAGTGGTCTAAGTAGTTCATCTACTGTATCACTGAGGTTGCGAGTTCAAATCCCGCACGTGACAGGTGCGTTTAACTCCAAACTTAACTGACTAGGATTGCCAGTTCTTACTGCCGAAGGTCGGTGGTTCTCTCTGGACCCCGGCTTCCTCCACCAATAAAAACTGTCCGCTGCGAAATTGCCAATAGTGCTGAACGTGGCGTTTACACAAACAATCATTCTTACATACGTTAAAGGGTTTTGCTTTTAAATGTTTCTTTAATTGTATTTCGTACCAGTATACATGATGTTTTACAAATTATATGCTCTTTACTTTAACTCGCGTGCATTCATATTGGAACTTTCTGGAAAAAATCCTGGAAAATTTCGCAGAATAACATTTGCTTTTGTTACTATATACAAATGTGATATTGTTGGAAGCTGTGACTGATATTGAACATGTGATTGGAACAAATATACAGAGGACATTGACCATACCTTTGTGTGGCCTTTTAATATATTGTAAGATTAAAGCCGATCTTGGTGCACGAGAACATATAATTTTTTATCATTGATTGATGAATTGTAATTTACTTATAATGTCCGACGAAAAATGTTACATGCATATTCAGGACGAGAACAAATTAACAATAAGTACAAAAGGTAGGTTTTGCAGGGCGTAAGACACCATAAAATGAGGACATGTTGGATAATCCCTTTCCAAATGGACGTGACTGCGTATTTATACATCCCGCATAGCAAAAGGAGCGTTCCCTTGCGGATGGATTCATTTCTTTAAGACAGAGAAACTTATATCAATGTCTATATTCCATGGTACTCTCGTAGCTCAATTGTTTTAAATATGTAAATAGTTTTAGAGAAAACATTGATCGTAACACTACAAACCAGTAAAAGTCTGAAATGGCCTATATCTGTACTCGACCAGTCTGAATTGGTCTGAATTTTACTTAATATTACTCGACCCAGTCTTAACCATACTCGACTGTACTGATTTGTACTTGACCCTTATATTTGCTATTGAAAATAGTCTAAACTATTACTCGACCAGTCTGAAACAGTCTTAACCCAGTCTG